CATGCGTTTTACACTAACTCATTGTAACACTATAATGTGATGTATTTTGTGCATTATTGTCTTGTGCCTTATACAAATATACGTATTGTAGTCAATTCATTCACATGCGTAGGTTTATGATTGTCTGCATTGCATTACTAACATTCCTATGGCATGTAATTGTTTAAGCATACACATATCAAAAAACATGATGGTCAAACATTCATAGTTGAGAAAGATAAATAAATTCATGCAAGTTTATTTATCTTGATTTTTCTTGAATATATATGAATTTAGATTAAAAAAATTGTACTAAATTATTTAATTTTTTGCAGGAGCAAGTTGCATTGTAACTGGAAGTATTGACACAAAATGGAGAGGAAGAAAATGAAAGTCAATTGTACAATGATGTTGTTGGCAGGTATGTAAGAAAAAAAATAGTTTATGGACTTGGCTCATATGGTAGCTTCATTCTGTGGTCTAATTAGTGTTAACACATCGGATAATATAATCTCAACATTGCAACCATTAGACAATGCTAATTCTGCAAAGATGCAAGATGATATTCCGAATTTGAAGACTTCTATGCTTTTTATGTAGCAGCTTGTCTTTGAGAGTGAGAGAGCTGGTACTGCATCATCAACCTCACCGCAACAGGATTGAAATAGATTTTGATTTTTATGCATTATTATATTGTTGTTTAGACATTAATTTGTATTAAGTACAACATTAAGCTTTTTTGAATATAAAACAATAGTACTTTTGTAATACAAATTATGTTAATTTTTATTGATAGTGTTTTTGTTTATAAATGTAATTGCATATTAACATTTTAATACTAACATTAGAATTTTAACAAAATAATAATAATTAATAAAATATTAAAAAATAATTATTTAGCAAAATTGCGACGAGATATGATTTTTAGCGATGAATATTAAGCGATGGAATCGCGATAGAAATTTGTTCCGTTGTTTTTCTTACGACGAATCTTTGTGATGGAAGACGGAATTTGCAACAGAAAGGTTAGCGACGGAATCATGAAGACAGTTTGTTCCGTCGTTTTCTTACAACAGAATTTTGTGACGGAATACAGAATTTGCAACGGATATGATATCGAAGGAAATCGCGACGACAATTATTTCTGTTGTTATATTTCACGACAGCAATAGAAGACAGAATATGAGTTTTGCGACAGATAGTTTTTTTCACACAATTGCGAAGGAAAGAAACATTTCCGTTGCCAAAACCGTGACGGACTCACGACGGAATGATTTCTGTTGCCAACTTCGCGACGGAAAATTCCGTTGTGTTTTTCCGTGACGGACTCACGACGGATTATTTCCGTTGCAAAATGAAATATGACAAGCCTGGAGGCTACGGAATGAATTCCGTCGCGAAAATGCAAAATTCCGTCACCAAAACGCGATTCACGACGGAATTTCACGTTTTCGCGATGGAATTTTTCCGTCGCGAATCGTGATTTCTCTTGTAGTGAACAATTGTGAACTCAAGTTTGTTTTGAGGAAGTGCACCAACTGTGAACAACAAATATGTTTAATATATATAATTTAGTGCCCTACGACTAAGAAGAATATAATGAAAGTTGAGAAATTAAAATGATGGGAGCTAAGAAGGGATAAGAAGAAAAGAGCATACATGAGAAAATGTGATCAGAGAAAAGGAAATTACTTTTCTTTCAGTATGCATGAGAATGGAAAATAAGGTAGATGGATGTCGTGTCTGACAGTTGAGCAAAGGTTTCCAATACTTTCTAAATGAGATTACTCTGGTATCAGAGCCCATGTTTTATGGTATCAGAGCCCATGTTTTATGGTATCAGAGCCCAGGTTTGACTTTGTCACCCAGTAAAAAATGGATTACAATAGTATTTCTATTGGTAAGTGAGCTAGTGACCATAGTAAGTATAATTCGATAGGTTAATTGAATAGTAATGTAGGATTTACCATTTTAGGTCAACTAATGCTAAACATGAGACAATTAAAAAAAAATGCTAAACATGAGTCATGAGAAACCTAGCTACCCTAACACATATATGCATATATACATAATACATATAGCACAAATAAATTAATGCTAAGGTACTGGGTAGTACGGGGGATTAAAACAAAATTAAAAGCAACCAATAGAATTTGTGCACTTTATGTGTGCTGTGCAGTGCAGCTTTGTATACATAGGGATGCAGCAATGGATGCTTAGTAGCTCACTGCATTATCTTCCTTTCTTTCATCTGCTTCCTGAGCTCTCAATCCCTCTTTGCATACAACCTTTCTAGCTTTACTCTTTTTTTTTTTTTTAAACATTCAACGTGGTGACGCCCCTTCAAGCAAAGCTAACTAGAGGTTTCCAATGTTTTTTAAATGGAATAACTCTAGTTATCTCGTTGATCCTCTATATGCACAAAATCATTTATTTAGTCAAATTCCTGCTTCTTTTGTTCAATCTGGGTATATGCATTGTTATTGTGCGCCTTTTAGTGGTTGTCATAGAAGTGTCCATTTTATTTCGTATATCTATTTTGGAATTATTGAGCGTAGTTAATGAGGCTGTAGAGTTTTGCTGTGGATTGTTTTCAATAGGTCATTTCAATAACTTTAACGTTGGAAGTTTTTTTTTTTAAATTTTATGGATTTAGCGTAGCTACATTTGTAGCACGTACAAATCCTAGAAATTCTGGGTTTCTTTCGCGACGCAGGAGTTATAGCCGAACAAGAAGGTATACCTCCACCTCTACCACTGCCCCCACCTACTATAATTCCACCTCAACCCCCACCCTCACCTGCTGCCGCCTCTCCTATGGTGGTTACTGTTGCCACTGTTAATCCACACCCACCTGCTATACCTACACCTCCACCTCCACCCCACTTGTTGCCGCCTCCTCTGAAGGACAACAACCTCAACCTGTTGTTGCTGCCGCTGATAATGTAGAAGCACCTCTCAGCCGCCCTGTTGTCTAGCGCCGAGGAGCTCTGGTAGCTCTAGCTCAGGGTCGACGACCTGGTTTTGGCTGTTGGTTTTGCTGGATTTGTGTCCAGATCGCTTTAATATGCATGATCCGATATGATCTGGTAGATGGGCTTAACTTTTATTAATATTATATTATTAGAAACTTTGTGTAATTTTGTTTCTTTGCATCATATCTATCCTCCCGATATAATATTTTCAGCTCGTTTTTTAAATCTGTTTTTTTTTTTTTTTTTTTTTTTTTATATTTCTCAGATGGATCCTTATTTTTATTTTTGTGTTCATGTTTCTCGGGTGTAGTATGTTTTTTAGTTTTTAGTCTCTATTCTTTTACTTGATAAGTGGTTTTTTTTTTTAAGAATCCTTTGATTTCATGAAATGATAATTTTAAGCCATGTGAGGAATAAAATATTATTGACATTTATTATTTAATATAAAAATTAAATAGTAAATATGTTTAATATATATAATTTAGTGCCCTACGGCTAGGAAGAATATAATGAAAGTTGGGAAATTAAAATGATGGGAGTTGAGAAGGGATAAGAAGAAAAGAACATATATGGGAAAAAGTGATCAAAGAAAAGGAAATTGCTTTTCTTTCAGTATGCATGAGAATGGAAAATATGGAAGGAGGATGGCGTGTCTGATAGTTGAGCAAAGGTTTCCAATACTTTCTAAATGATATAACTCTGGTATCAGAGCCCATGTTTCGTGGTATCAGAGCCCATGTTTGCCTTTCAATGGTTGTCATAGAACTGTCAATTTTCTTCCGTATATCCATTTTGGAATTATTGCGCATAGTTAATGAAGCTGTAGGGTTTTGCTGTGGATTTCTTTTAATAGGTCATTTCAATAACTTTAATGTTGGAAGTTTTTTTTATGGATTTAGCATAGCTACATTTATAGCACAAATCCTAGAAATTCTGGGTTTTTTCCGCGGCGGAGGAGTTATAGCTGAAGAAGAAAGTATACCTCCACCCCTATCCCCACCTGCTATACTTCCACCCGAACCCCCAACCCCACCTCCTGCCGCCTCTCCTACGGTGGTGAACGTTGCCGCTATTAATCCACCCCCACCTGTTATACCTCCACCTGCTATACTTCCACCCCAACCCCCACCCCCACCTGCTGCCGCCTCTCATGTGATGGTGACCGTTGTCGCTGTTAATCCACCCCCACCTACTATACCTATACCTCCACACCACCCCACCCCCACCTGTTACCGCCTCTCCTGAAGAACAACAGCCTCAACCTGTTGTTGCTGCCACTGATAATGTAGAAGCACCTCTCCGCCGCCTTGTTTTCCAGCGTCGATGAGCTCTGGTAGCTCTAGCTCAGGGTCGACGTCCTGGTTTTGGCTGTTGGTTTTGTTGGATTTGCGTCTAGATCGCTCTGATATGCATGATCCGATCCAATCCGGTAGATGAGCTTAACTTTTATTTATATTATATTATTAGAAACTTAGTGTAATTTTGTTTCTTGGCATCATATCTATCATCTCGATCTCAGATTTTTAGCCCATTTTTAAATTTTTTTTTTTTTAATTTATCGGATGGATCCTTTTTGTTATTTTTGGATTCATGTTTCTCAGGAGTAGTATGTTTTTTTAGTTTTTAGTCTCTGATCTTTTACTTGATAAATGTTTTTTTTTTTAGAATTCTTAGATTTCATGAAATGATAATTTTAAGCCATGTGAGAAATAAAATATTATTAACATTTATTATTTAATATAAAAATTAAATAGTAAATATGTTTAATATATATAATTTAGTACCCTACAACTTCGAAGAATATAATAAAAGTTGGGAAATTAAAATGAGGGAGCTGAGAAAGGATAAGAAGAAGATAACATACATGGGAAAAAGTGATATGAGAAAAGGAAAATACTTTTATTTCAGTATTCATAAAAATGAAAAATAAGGTAGGTGGATGACGTGTCTGACAGTTGAGTTTGCCTAATAAACGAAACCAAACAACAGAATCAGTCATTTGTTTGTTTGTTTTTTTTTTTTGTTTTTTTTTGGAACAGTAAAGACATATCTGAAATAAGAGAATTACAAATGATAGAGGGAGGGTTCGTAAACCACTCCGAGCAACCAGACAAAGAAGGAGACTTCCTAGCTAACAGATGAGCCGTCTGATTCGCAGATCACCTAGCGAACACTAAACTGCTATGAGCAAACAAGCTTAATTAAGTTTTTCATATCAGATAAAATAACATGAAAGTAAGACTCCCCTAAAGATGAATTATAGTTCTGGACTACTTGAAGTGAATCAGACTCAACAATGATCTTGTTAAAAGCTAAGGATTTGAGCCAAGATAGAGATTCATGAATTGTTATCACTTCGGCTTCCTTGACGTTGTACAAACCCCTCTAGTTAAGTCCTCTTGCGGCCAAGAACCGTCCTTGGTCGTCTCTTAAGACAGTCGAATCCCATGCAACCATTATCCTGGTTTATGGCGGCATCAACATTGAGTTTCATGAAGCCCTGATGTGGTTTGGTCCAATGCTCGACAATAATAGTGTTTCTCTGTGGTTTGAGATTGTCTGTCGTAGCTGCATGCCATGCCGCATAGTAATCCTTTTGTTCTGAAGATGAAGCTACTTGCCGAAACTAGTGTGATTATTCCATATAGTATCATTTCTCAGTTTCCAAATATTCCAACATACCATTGATAGTTTGCAAAGCTGATCTGAAGAGTTTCTTTATGGCTGGCGAGCTGTCGTAGGCTCCCAAATTAAAACCTTACAAACGTAGTAGCGGGAGTAAGGATCGATCCCACGAGAAGTAACTAGTTTAATGTAGGGCTCAAATTAAAGGAAAGGGGGGTTTGGTATGAAAGTGATAATCAAAGTAAATAAACGAATAAAGCAATAAAAAGAATATATTGAAAGCACTTATAATAGAAAACCTTGGTTAGTAAAGATCCACCACCGGAATTTAGCACCGATCATTGATTCCAAAGGTAATTAATATGCAATTGAATATTTTTCATGAAATTATTTCATTTCCGTTTTCCCTTAGTTGTAGATAACTAAAATACATGTGGTTTAATTACCCTAACTACTAAATAATCTAAGACAAGCGCTATAGATTTAATTTAATAGCAGCAATAGGAACTAGGAAAACCGACAAACTAAATAACACAAGCACAAACGGTTGCATTTAATTTAGGAAAATTTTCTCCTTGAGACCAATTATCACTAAAGCCGTCAATAATTAACCTTAGTTGCTACTGAATATTAGAATAATTTGTAGCACAACATTATCAAATATAGCAAATAATTATATCAAATAAATAACTAGTAGGCCTCCCTAGCAATTAAATGATATAACTATTCAAATAACTTAGAAGAATATTTAATACTCAAACGCATAAAAATTATATAATAAAAATAAATAAATAATCTCACAGCATACTCAATTCTGGGGCTTCAATTCACTAAACCAAGCTAAAGAAAATTAGCCACGCAGGGACATTGATAACCACTTTAAAGAAAAAAAGATAATCAAGAGGAGAAAGTCAGAATGAACGTTTCAACAAGAGAATCCTTCTACTATTTATACAGCTCTTGAATTATTTTCAAATCAGTTTTCACCGTACAATTCCTATCATTCCGTCGAGCGACGAATTCTTCCGCGATTTTCGTTCTTGGTCGAGAATTTCGTAGCATTTTGACAAAGCTTTGTTGCACGTTCTGTACGTAAGAAAAGAAACAAAAACAATGTTAAATGTTTTATTTATTTTGTCTTTTTCTAAGAATTTGGGTGGGTTGGGCCATAGTGTTATAGGATTAGGATAGAATTAAGAAAATGGATTCAAAACAAATTATTAACTAAATATTATTATAAAACACTAATTAATTAATTAAATTCTAAATTAAAATAATTATTAAATAATTATAAATAACTAATGCAAAAATATTATAAAGATGTATATAAAATAAGAGTATAAAATATGTCTATCAATGGCGTCACAATCATTCCAGCAAGCCTTAGCAAAATCACACTCCACAAAGATGTGTTGTATGGATTCCTTGCCATCTTTACACAAATGGCACTTATCATCACAATTGATATGCTTCTGCCTGAGTGTATCTTTGGTAGGTAAACACTCATTACATGCCTGCCACAGAAAACTCTTGACCTTAGGAGGAATATCAAAATGCCAAATACTTCTCCAACCTACAACATCATCCTCATTCAGCTCGTCATAAAGAGCCTTGTAATAACTCTTAACTGAGAATTTGCCATCATCATTATGTCCCCAAATGACTCTAACTTGAACATGTTGTTTGGGTAGGGGGATTTGCATGATAAGATCAGCGTCCCTAGGTATGAAGATATTCCTGATAGTGGATTCGTCCCAGTTGTTAGTCTTGAGGTCGATTAGGTCTTCCACTTTAGAATTCTCCATATAGGGGTAGGGGAAAGGCACGATCATTGGGTTTGTGTTATCCGGCAGCCAATTGTCTTCCCAAATACGAGTTTGAGTACTGTTCCCTATCCTCCATCTTGTGTGTCTACGGATTATATCTTGCGTTGCCATCATGCTGCTCCATATAAAAGATGGATTGGCCCATGCTTTGGCATCAAGAAAAGAGGAGTTTGGGTAGTATCTTGCCTTGTAAACTCTAGAAACCAAAGAATCTGTGTTCTGGAAAAGCCTCCAAACTTGTTTGGATAGAAGAGCCAGGTTGAAAAGATGTAGATCCCAAAGGCCAAGCCCACCCCAATTCCTTGGTATACAAAATTTGTTCCAAGATCTCCACGCAATGCCTTTTCTATCCATACTACCACCTTTCCACCAGTATTGGTTCATAATTATTTCAACTTCTTTGACAAGGCCCTTAGGCAAACCCATTGCATAAGTTGGAAGGGCTTGAAGAACTATTTTCAAAAGGATCTCCCTCGCCGCTTTGTATATGAAATGGTGATTCCACCCTTGTATACGGTTGGCAATGCGATTCTTGATGAAGCTCATGATCTCTTTTCTGTTCCTCCCCACCATCATAGGGAGCCCAAGAAAATTACCATTGTTGTTGCTATATTGAATACCCAAGATGTCACTTAGATGAGCTCTCACTGTAACCGGGGTATTGTTGCTAAAAGTCAAACAAGATTTACTCAGGTTAATACTCTGGCCTTAGGCCCTCTCGTAATCAATCAGTAGGGTCTTCAGATTGTTAGCTTCCACCTCATTAGCATTGAAGAAAATGAAACTGGCATCGACAAAGAAGAGGTGACTAATATAGGGAGCATTCCTGGCTACTATAATACCATGTAAATTACCTCTTCTTTCCTGGCGTCTTAACATGGCACTGAAGCCTTCTACGACAAGGATAAAGAGGTAAGGGGATATAGGATCACCCTGCCTTAAGCCTCGTTCTGGTAATATTGGACCAATCTCCTGACCTTGGTTCAATATAAAATAGCTCACGGATGATACGCATTCCATAATAATATCAACCCGCTTGGTACAAAAGCCCATCTTAATCATAATATTACGCAGCAGAGTCCATTCCAATCTGTCATAAGCCTTGGTTATGTGAAGCTTAAGGGCTGCCAAACCTTTCTTGCCTTGTGTTTTTTTCTTCATATAATGTTGCATTTCAAATGCAAGAATTATTTGTATGTGAGCAATCTCCCCAGAACGAAAGCCCCTTGATTCTCTGAAACTAGATCATTCAACAATACTTTCAGCCTATTTTCCAGAGATTTAGCTAGAATCTTGTAGGCAACGGAACACAGGGCAATAGGCCTAAGGTCTTCCATAGGGATAGTTATGCTGTGCATCCGTATGCACCATGCATGGTGCATACGGATGCAAAAACGACGTCGTTTTATTAAATACGCGTATCCCACTTAAAAAAAAAATCAGGTTCGATTCCCCTCAACAGCATTATGTTGTTCATTCATTCTGGAATTTTAGTTCAAAGATTCTGGAATTTTAGTTCATTGATTCTGGAATTGTAGTTCATCGTTTCTGGAATTTTAGTTCATCGATTCTGAAATTTTAATTCATAGATTCTGGAATTTTAGTTCATTCATTCTGGAAATTTTAGTTCATAGATTAGATTATGGAATTTTAGTTCATTGATTCTGGAATTGTAGTTCATCGATTCTAGAATTTTAGTTCATCAATTCTGGAATTTTAATTCATATGTTGTTGTTGGGAATCGAAATTGAACTTTTTTTTTAAGTGAGACACGCGTTTTTAATAAAACGACATCATTTTTGCATCCGTATGCACCATGCATGGTGCATACGGATGCACAGCATAATTTGCCCTGCCATAGTTTCCGGTGTGGAATTTTTCGGTATCAACACAATCTGAGTAGTGTTGATATCCTTTGGAAGCATGCCAGTGGATAGGAATTCATTGCAGAAATTTACTAGGCTATCTCCTAGAGTCCCAGTACGTATATCCCAAAATGATTGGAAAAAGCCCGGATTAAATCCATCAAATCCCGGACTCTTATCTGGATGCATGCTAAACATAGCCTTCGTAATCTTAGATGAAGAAAATTTTCGCAGCAACAGAATATTTTGGGAATTGGTAACATAAGCATTTAGACAATCTAGGACAAGAGAGCTACTCCTAGCAGTACTAGAAAAGATGTTTGTGAAGTAGTCTCTTACCATAGAATCAAGTTCTGGTCCTTGTTCGACTCAATTGCCAGCCTGGTTACAGAGCTTTGGAATCTCGTTGAACCTTCGCCTCTGGTTAACATCATTGTGGAAGAATTTGGTGTTGTGATCACCACCCTTGAACCAAAACAACTTAGCCCTTTGTTTCCAAAACTGGTTCTACTTGTCCGAGAGGGAAAGAAACTGCTTCTGGAACTCCTTGAAGCTCTAGGCATCAGTTTTCAATCTGAGGGTACCCAAAAGTCTTCAGTGCTGCATAATTCGAATCCAGAACTCAGATGAAGACCTTCTGATCCGCTCCAGCTACGATTGACTATCTCACGGCAGCGAGATTCTTTTAACCAAAAATTCTCAAACTTGAAACTTCTTCTCTTCCTGGTACTCGCTGCGGGGGACGGCGAAATAGCGATTGGAATATGGTCGCTGGAAGGGGCTTCGAAAGACTCAGCTCTTGCACCTTCGAAAATGTCGAGCCACCCATAATTGACAAGAATCAGATCAAGTTTTTCCCTTACCCAATTGGATGAACCTCTTCCTCTTTCCCAGGTGAATTGATAACCTTTGAACTAG